TAGGGAGGCAGGGACGAGCTGGACTGGTTTTGGGATGCGGTAGGGAAAGGGGAGATTTTGAAACTTGTGAAGTCCACATTGATACCATTGGGCTGCAGGGTTCCCAAGCGGAATATGAGTTGCTGTTCCTGCAACCTTCGGGTGGCATCGTTGTGGCACTGCAGGAGGCCCAGGATGGACATGTTCACAAGTTTCAAAATCTCCCCTCCCCCTACCGCATCCCAAAACCAGTCCAGCTCATCCCTGCCTCCCTAACCTGTTCTTCCTCCCACCTATCCCCTCCTCCCACCTCAAGCCGCACCCCCATCTCCTACCTACTAACCTCATCCCGCCCCCCTTGACCTGTCCGTCCTCCCTGGACTAACCTATCTCCTCCCTAACTCCCCACCTACACTCACCTTTACTGGCCCCATCCCCGCCTCTTCGACCTGTCTGTTTCCTCTCCACCTATCCTCTCCTCTATCCATCTTCTATCCGCCTTCCCTATCCCTCTATTTATTTCAGAACCTCCTTCCCCTCCCCCATTTCTGATGAAGGGTCGAGGCCCGAAACGTCAGCTTTCCTGCTCCTATGATGCTGCTTGGCCTGCTGTGTTCATCCAGCCCTGCACCTCCTGGCTCGTAGATGGGTCATTACCACTGCACAACAGGAGCCCCCAAAGGAGTGATTTAACTGAGAGCATTTTAAAATGGAGGCACTAACTGGAAGCCAGTGTTGATGAGTGAGCACAGGGCTGATAGTGAATGGGTCTTCCTGCGTTAAGAAAGGGGCTGTTTTTCGGGGGATGGGGAGTGAAAAAGTGGAGCGTAGCCGGGTGAGCCCCGGGCTAATTAGGCCTGAGAGAGGGTAGAGTGCGGTTTAAAGTTTCAGTGAGGGAACAGAGACAGATTTGAAGGTTGTGAAACTCGTGGTCCTGGCTCAGACTGTTTTCTAGCCCCCAGATGTATCTGTTGCTCACTCTGTTATCTGGCTCTGTGTCTGGAGGATGTTTCGTTGCTGATCGCGTGTGTCTCTGCTGTTGTACAAAAACCCAATGACGCAGAATTGCTATAAATAGCCCAGAACGAAATGTTCTCATCTCAGTGAAAGGGTCAGAAAGGGCGAGTATAAACAATACAGGCGCGCAGAAAAACAGTCTGAGCAGGAAAAAGGCTTCAAGAGACGCCGTGTAACCACAGCCAGTATTTTGCCCGTAATGTTCATAATTTAAACAGCGAGATTCCTTCTCACTCAGACTCTGCATGTCCCCGGGAGCTTTAGGGCAGCCACACCGTCTGCCGTTTGCTTTCCTCTGCATTGATAACCCAGGCTGGGCTGCCCCTGACTCCTGAAGTCCCCAAAACTGGAATTCTTCACCCCGGCTATTTTCACCTGAGACAAGCACACACCTAACTCAAGGCAACTGTAGCCCCTTAACACATATATATTAAATATAAAACACAAACTATCCAGACAACTTCTCAAAATTGGGATAGACGTCTGGCCGACACCCTGTGTCCACTGTTTAAAAAGATGATTGAAAGCTGCACAGATCTGTGGTAACACTGTCACTAAATTCGGCAGGGGATTAGAAACCAGGCCATCAAACAGACGAGAAACCAGCTCAGTCTGCAAAACAAACGCTGCCTTCAGGCTTCTGAGTGCAGACTTTTCTGTGAACTGTACACTGCATTCTCCAGTGAACCATTTTTCCAGTCCAGCTTACCCAGCAGTGTGGGTATGAGGTACAAACCGTGGCCATGGTCTTAACTATACTCTTCATTTGAAAATAATCTTAACATCTAGTAAAACAACAACTTGCATTCAGATAGTGCCTATGACGAATAAAACATTCCAAAGTGCTTCAGAGAGACATTATGAAGCAAAATATGACATCAATCACAAAAGGAGGTATTTGGTCAAAGCAATAGACTTTATTGAATCAGAGATAGTAGGAACTGCAGATGCTGGAGAATCCGAGACAACAAGGTGCAGGGCTGGATGAACACAGCAGGCCAAGCAGCATCATAGGAGCAGAGAGGCTGACGTTTCGGGCCTAGACCCTTCATCAGAAAAGGGGGAGGGGAAGGGGGTTTTGAAATAAATAGGGAGAGAGTGGGAGGCGGATAGAAGATGGATAGAGGAGAGGATAGGTGGAGAGGAAACAAACAGGTCGAAGAGGCGGGGATGGAGCCAGTAAAGGTGAGTGTAGGTAGGGAGTTAGGAAGGGGATAGGTCAGTCCAGGGAGGACGGACAGGTCAAGGGGGCGGGATGAGGTTGGTCGGTAGGAGATGGAGGTGCGGCTTGAGGTGGGAGGAGGGGATAGGTGGGAGGAAGAACAGGTTAGGGAGGCAGGGACGAGCTGGACTGGTTTTGGGATGCGGTAGGGGGAGGGGAGATTTTGAAACTTGTGAAATCCACATTGATACCATTGGGCTGCAGGGTTCCCAAGCGGAATATGAGTTGCTGTTCCTGCAACCTTCGGGTGGCATCGTTGTGGCACTGCAGGAGGCCCAGGATGGACATGTCGTCTGAGGAATGGGAGGGGGAGTTGAAATGGTTCGCGACTGGGAGGTGCAGTTGTTTATTGCGAACCGCTGCCTAGCCAGCAACACCCTCATCCTGTGAATGAATTTAAAAAAAGACATGGGATATCATGTCACGTTTAGATGCTAATGATGCCTCAGGGAAGTACCTCTTGCTACCAAGTAAGACATCCTCCTCTACAGACTTGAGCACAAAGTCTAGGCCCAACACTCCAGTCCAGTCGGTCAGGGGTGCTGCACTGCCAGAGGCATTATCTACTGAATTTGAAGAATGGGAAGTTCTTCCCAGTGTGCTGGCCTTTATACAACCCACATCACTAAAACAGCTGTTTGTAGAATCTTGCTGTGTGAAAATTGCTTGCCATGTTTCCTGCATGACAATAGTGACCACACTCCAAAGGTACATCATTAGCTATAAAGTACTTTGCGATTTTCTGAGCTATTTCAAAGGTCATTGGGTAAGTGCAAGCTCTTTAATATTGAATGTCTGTCAATTCCAGGCAGTGGGGTTGACAATCACACATTCCACAAAACCTCTGTACCTTAAGCAGATTTTCAAGCAGTTTCTGTGGGACACTGCTAAAAGAAATAGGATTTAAATTTTACCTGACAATAAATACTTCTGTAACTGCACCAGGCTTTTTCAAAGTCACTTCTCAGTTCAGTCCTCATCATTAATCCTAATCCCAGTCTCACAATCTTGGACCTTAAAACCATAATTAGGCCATTCAGTTGATCAAGTCTGCTCCACCACTGGATGAAATATCTGTAAATGAACAGGAAGACCATTCATTCCCTTGATCTGGTTTCACCATTTTAATAAATATGGGTTGATTAATAAAATCCTTCAATAAATAACCTTACCTAACAAACATTTTGGGATTGATTCCCACTACCATTTGAGCTTCCTGACATCATTCCTGAGGGTCTGGCTCTAATTTTCAGATTCTGCCCATTTTTCTGGACACAATTTTTCACTGTTCCTGCTTCCAATGTTCTCCCTCCCTGCCTTCTCCCTTTTCCTCATTACAGAGAAATAGAAGAAAGGTTTTGAATCCAGGATGCCACAGGGTCCACAAGTTCACCCGCAGGGAGGGTGCAGGGTCTGCAGGTTCCTCTGTCTACCATGTACCTTTCACAAGCTGTTTGAGTGTGTCCTCCTGACCAGCCTCTCTCTTCCGCTGCTTATGGAAGCTCCTTATGGAACAACTGGTTTCAGGCCTGATAGGAGCTTGCTGACCTCATACTTAGTGACAATATTTAAGAGGTAACCATCTGCAAAAATCTTCAGAATCTCCTGAATGTGTGACTCCAAGACACACACATTTTTCTGGTGGTCTGTTGCAAGTTTTGACAAAAGGAACAGCGGCCCACTTCTGGGCTGACAGCAATATTGCCAAAGATTTGGTGAGTAATCAGACAGGAGAGAATCCAGGGTTTGACCTCCTTAAAAATACAGCACCTTCCACACAGTAAAATCCATTTCATGCAAGGGCCTCACACCCCTCCATAAGTGGAATGACCAGGATAGCCTAGAACAAGACTGTGGTCACCCAGACCAGACTGTTCATTGCATTGGGAATGAATGAGGCCTATGAAAAGTTGCAGAATAGATAATTGAACTAACAAGCCTCAGTGCTGTGACCCGGCTGTCCAACTTAGACTCTGCCTTGTAAAGCCACAAGATATCAAACAGAAGCAGACGACAGTATCCCAGGGCCAGAGAACCCAGTGGAAGTTTCAGAGGTTCAGATCCATATTTCTGGCAGTTTAAAAAAAACTGAGATTCCTCATTTCCTAATTTTTGTAAATACTCACAACTAAGTCAAGGTGCAACACAATCAGGACAGATCAAAACTATGAATCTGTAACTGGGATTCACATGTGTGGCATTAGACTAAGTAATGTTACTGTAGTAAATCATTTGAAATGCCTCAGCCCCTCATCGGCTACCTGTTTACAGACAGCAGCATTGTCCTGCACTGTCAATCCTCTCTTGTTTAGCCTACAGTACACAAACCCTTGGCTTGTTCTGCCTTCTCCTGTTCATCGCGTGACCAAAGAACGTTACTGAAGAGTCGAGATTTGTGAGCTGGAGATAAAAAGCAAACATGCCTAACTTGCCCAGTGCCAAACATGACAGTTGGCAGTGATTTGGAATGAAGCCTTCACAATCTCTGGAGATCCACATTTGGAAGTGAACATTGAAATGGGGGAGTGAGTATGTGCCCTGGCCAGTGAACAGAAAATTACTGAATATTTCAGTGAACTACCTGACACCTTTCAAAAACAGGTCACGTATTGGCTGAATTATGAATACCTTCTAGGTCAAAAATAGACTCGGTTGGTAGGGAAGGGTTAAAGAGATAAAACCAAGCTCCTCTATTTCTGCACTCTGTCAACATCGGGTAAACAAATTGAAAGCTAGCAATGTGGGTGAGAACTTAAACACAGGGCACATCTTGACATGAGTGAGCTGGCCTGTGACAAGATTATTAGAATCGTCCTGCCCCTGGTGAACGAGACGGGACCTACCCGACATTTACTCCGCGACAAGCCGCCCCTTTCTAAGGCAACAGAACCAATGGAAGCAGAGACTCGACTGACGGTCATGTCCCGCCTCTAACCTGAGGCTCAAACAGTAATAAGGGCAGATCCATTTTTTTAAGATACAATAGGACAAAGACGGACTGATTAGTTTAGTAGCTTCTTTTCAATAGTATTAACCTGAAAGTTTTCCCCAGAATTGACCTGGAGGAATTTTCTTAAATCGGAGAAAGCAGATTACGAGGCTGTGTAGATACTTTTCTGCACTGCAATATTTCTGGAGTCTGGGTGTGTTCTCTCGCTATCAAACAAAGGGTCTCGGTGCCTGGGATTTCCAGAGGGGCTTGTGTCCTTGTTATTGTCGCATGCGGAATGGCGAGTGCAGCTTTCGATCGTTTCGCTGCCGAGTGCTTGGTGTCCATGTCCCGGACAGCAGTGGTCCATAGTCCCGGTCCAGCAGCCACTCCCCCCGGGGACTGTCAGGACAAAGGCACCGGTCTGCTGCTGGTTCTGGCTGGGATCCCGGCTCAGGGCGGCCACTCAGCTGATGGCAGCCCGCAGGATGGGGCAGAGAGCCCGGGTACTGGGCACTGTGTCCCCCCGAGACCCAGAGGCCGGAGAGGCAAAGGCAGGAGCGGCCAAGAGCGTCGGCCCAAGAAACACCAGTGCCAGTACCCGGGCTGCGGCAAGGTCTACGGCAAATCGTCGCACCTGAAGGCTCACCTCCGGACACACACAGGTCAGTGCGGCCCAGGG